AGGACTCTGCCCCGGCCAGCCAACACCAGCGACGGGAACCCCATCCAGGGTGGCCGGAAACCTCTCAACCGGACCCTTGGACCCCTACCCCCACCCCTCTGAGCTGGGTGCTGCTTCTTCTCTGTGTTCCCTAGCGTTCTAATGTCTTTCCTTCCTATGTCCAGGGATATTTCCTTACTCCAGTGGTCACCAACCAGTCGATCAGGATCAGCTGGTAGATCTTGGAGCTTCTGACAGATCCCATCCAGGGTGGCCGGAAACCTCTCAACCGGACCCTTGGACCCCTACCCCCACCCCTCTGAGCTGGGTGCTGCTTCTTCTCTGTGTTCCCTAGCGTTCTAATGTCTTTCCTTCCTATGTCCAGGGATATTTCCTTACTCCAGTGGTCACCAACCAGTCGATCAGGATCAGCTGGTAGATCTTGGAGCTTCTGACAGATGATCCTGACTGGTTTGGCCAAGAGGCTGTCAAGTGCCAGTACTTCAGCTGCCCCTGCCCCCACTGCTGCGCATCTCCTGCCCTTTGCCTGGGAGCTTCCCTCCACCTCCTGGGAGCCTCCTGCTTGTGGTACAGAGCAGGGAAGGGAGACGAGGGGGTGCTGATGTCAGGGTGCCCCCTTCCCACCTTGTATTCTATCTCCACAGAACAGGGAGAGGAGGACAACAGGGCCTGGGATGGAAGAAGTTTGCTGGTTGCTTTTGAGAGTGGTACAGGGCCAGGGCAGGAGTGAGCCTGCTTTAGCCCCACTGCACCATCACCCAGGAGCCACCTGTGGTAAACAGTGTCCAGCTGGAGCCAGCCCTGAACCCCTGCCCCAGTCATGTACCCTCCTCTACACCCCAAGTCCCTGCCCTAGCCCTGAGCCCCTCCAGACCCAAACTCCCTTACAGAGCCTGCACCCTGAACCCCAACTCCCTGCCCCAGGCTCAGTTCAGAGCCGCCTCACACTCCAAATCCCTTAGCCCAGTGGTCACCAACCAGTAGATCGGGATCTACTGGTAGATCTTGATGCCTCTGATAGGGGATCCTGACTGGTTTGGCGGGGAGACTATCAAGTGCTGGCACTTCAGCTGCCCTTCCTACCGCTGCCCGGCTGCTCCTACCCAGAGCCTCAGAACTGCCCTTGGGAGGTTCCTGCTTGTTGTGCAGGGTGGGGGAGACAGATGCAGGGGGGCACTGATGTCTCTCTTTCCCCCTCCCCTGTATCCCATATTCACAGAGTGAGGAGGGTGGGGCCTCAAAGGGGTGGAGCAGGGGTATTAGGGTTTGAGGTAGATCCTGGTCTGACATAAATTCAAAAAGTGATCTCAGGCTTAAAAAGGTTGGAGACCACTACCCTAGTCCAAGACCAGAACCTGTGCCCCAACCCTCTGCCCCTGCCTGATGAAAGAGAGGGAGAATGGGAGGTTGGAGTGAGCAGAGGCAGGGCCTCAGAGAAGGGGCACAAAGGAGGTGGGGCAGGGTATTTGGGTTTGAGGTACATCCTGGATTGCATTTAAATTCAAAAAGTGATCTCGTGCTTAAAAAGGTTGGAGACCTTGCCTTACTCTGCTCTGAGTCACTGAAATGGTATTCAATTCAATTGTTGGTTTAACTGCCTGAAGGTTGTTAAACCAATAAAGTTGAGTACCACTTCCGGTGAATGGCTCCTTAAGAACAAGCCAGCTGTGGAGCTGACCAGTGGGGACTTTTTCAAATGTGTGAATGGCTCCTTAAGAGCACCACCTGGGGAGACACTTGGCGCCCCTTTTGAAATGTAATGGTGACCCATATGTGGGTCCAAATCCATAGGGTTGGGAAACCCTGGCCTTCAGGAAGAGTGTAAAGAGGGATAGGAAGGGCAGGAAGGGTAGTGCACTAAGACTCAGGGAAGGCATTGCCTCGTTTACCTGCTGCCAATGAGCAACTGTATTTGCATCTGTTTAAAAATCTGAGAGAACAATTTGCAGTTTGTTTGGGAGGTTTTACCTTCATGTTTTTGAAGCATCAGCTTCAGCTTATTCCCTCTTGAGCCATCTAGATGAATGAAAATAAAGATTAAATACATTCTTTAACCATGCACCTTGGACAGCAGGAAGAGTAACTTGAAAAAAGTACAAAAGGCATAACTCCTGACTATATTGGGATAACAAAACAAGGCCGCATTAGTAGCTGTCCTAACTCTAGGTCTGACACTTAGGTATAATATATGCTATGAGAAGGCATTCATGAGTCTAACATCCTTTCACTACAGAATTTGACACTAAAACCTGATGTGTACTTATCTTGTGCAACTGCTCTATTTTTTTTTAGCAGATCAAAACTTCTTCCTGGTGTCAGTGACAGGATATAATGTCCATGTTGGTGTGATAAGCATGAGAAATGCTGTCACAAAATAAAAAGTACATTAGCAAGCAGAGCTGCTACAATTTTCCTCTCGGCAAGTCTTCAAAATCTTTTAAAACTGTGTTTTTGCTAAAACAATTTCTCCATAGGAAAACTGTTTGCCTCTTAGTCAACAATATCAGGTGCATTCACACACCAGTTTATCTGAATACGCTGCCTTTTCATACCCAGTAGCCTTCACCACTATTTTATAGCACGCCCATAATGGCATAATTCTTCTTAATCACCTTCTCTGTTTAAAAGCAAAATGGAAACAGGCTGCAGTTTTTAATTTATGAAAATTCATTTGTAATATTGGAAAATATTAGTCCACACACTTAATGGGTCATTTTTCCAAGAATTTTTGTAAGATAAATTATATCTTGTGGACTTGATCCAGCTGTCCCCACTTAGTCAGAATTCCCATTGACTGCTATGGACTGGTAAAGTACTGCAGAACTAGCCCTTATATTTATGAGAATTGTCGTCATGGAGCTGCTAGGCAATATGTAAATATGACAGCAAAATCCATTTACTTGTCTATTTTTCTTCACATTTTAACTAAGACTTTTGAACTTTTTGTAATCCAGTGGCAATTCAGTCCAGCAAAACACACAAAGCTTTTGCATTGTTAATTTTTTCATTACCTAACCTGGAAGGACAAAAAGAACATTAAGCAAGCGTATGGGGTTGAGGAATTTTATACGTTGCTGTTACCACATCTAATTCTCAGCTTGCATAACTGGAATGCACAGCTCCCTTAATTTTAATTAAGATGACAAGGGGGAGGGGGAAAAAATCTCTGCACAGAACCAGTCTTGATCCTTGGATCTTTAGACTCCTTTAGCTCAGCTACAACTTTGCTAACATTAATAATGTTCTTGTCACCTCCCAGAGCCAACTGAACACAAGGACAATTTTTATAGAACACAAAAGGCTTAGAGAAAATCGCTATGCCAATGAATATGTGTGGGTGGAACCAGATTTATTTTTTAACGATAAAGAGAAAAAAATTACCCTTCCCTTATTATTCTCCTTTTTGTTTCAGTTACAGCAGCGCTCTTCTAGATTTCATTGTTTTGTTTTTTTAATGCTGAATATTGCAAAATGACATGGGCAGAGAGGCTAGGAGTTTTTCACCTTCTTCTGCAGCATGGGGCATGGGTCATTTGCAAGTTTAAACTAGAGTAAATGTTAGATTCTCTGGAACTATATGTCTTTAAACCACAGTATGAGGACTTCAATAACCCAGCCTGAGGTTAGGGGTCTATTACAGGACGGGGTGGGTGAGGTTCTGAAGCCTGTGATGTACAGCAGGTCATGCAAGATGATCAAAATGGTCCCTTCTGGTCTTAAAAGTCTATGAGTCTATAATGTATGTGGTGTTATCCATAAAAACCCTTCACTTCCAAGTGGGCCCTAAGCAGCTGCAATGAGACTGTTCACACTGTTCTTTCCCACTGAGGTAAATGAGATGGAGGCTTTGACCCAAAGACTGAGGTCAGGATCCAGAGCAGGCCCGAGTGTCACCCTGCTGTACAAAAAGGGAACCCTTTATCCCCAGAATGGGTCTTTAATTATAGGAGAATTCAAAGGCAGGGATAACTGGGTCACTCTCTAGCCCCCTTCCCCACTGAGCACTTCTCTGGGCACATCACCCACTGCAGTGGTGTCTGGGGATCACCCATCTCCCTCTCCCCAGGGTGTTGCTCGCTGCACCAGGTGCACTGCTTACTCACCGGGAGCCAGGCAGACGAGCAGAAGCAGTGTTAGGGCAGCCAGGGGCAGCACCCCCCGGCAGGCTGACAGCAGCATGGTGGCAGGTGACAGCTGGAGAGAGGTAGGTGAAGTGCAGCTCTTCCACCTGCAGGGAACAGACAAGGGCAGCTCAGGAGAAAGCATGGCATAGAACCCGCTGGGCAGGGCTGGACCTGCCGACAGGATGTATCCCCTGGCAGTGATCCAGTCAGTGCATCTCCTTGTGCTCAGCTCCCCCGCTGGGACATGAGCCATGGGGCACCGCTGGCAACAGTACGAGGGTCACCGATCAGCTGCACCCGACGTATTGCACCCCGGGGCCAAAGGAGCTGTGGATTCCTACAGAGCCCTGTAGGGTGCAGCCCCCTACACATTATGCATGTGCAGAGGCAGAGTGCTGCAAAACCAGCTGTAACACATCTTAAGCTTTAGTCATTGCAATTGGTAATATACGAAAAAGAAACTCTGCCATGTTCAATTGGGATGTGCGCTAGAGAGCTACTCATCTGCCTGAGACCCTAACGCATGGAGGCTGTAGCTGAGCACATACTCTCATAGGTATGCAAAAGCATTAACTTTAAAAGTGGACCATAGTGTCCAGCGAAACCCGGTGATGAGGCAGCCAGGGGACATTCTGAACATAAAGCGCTCTCAGCTGTGCCTGTAGCTGTCTCCATCGCTTCATGTGACTCGGCCAGCGTTCCAGGCTTCAGAGCAACACACACAGAAAGGTGACAATCCTGGGATCTAATCAAATATCTGGGTTCTCTAAAGCATCTATCGCTGTAGAATCTAAATATCGTGATTTAATTGTTTGTAAAGAGATTTGCGCATTGCTGTAGATATTTCTATGTAACTGTAAACGAATTCAAAAGAGCCTCCCACATAGCAGATCTGTTTAAATAGCCATGTTTATAAAAAGGATGCATACCGGGTGTTAGGACACTTCAAAAAGGCTAAATGATTTCAGATTTGTTCCTTTAACAACTACCTATGGGTGCATCTGCACTGCAGGGCTTAACTCAAAATAATTGAGCTACGTCAACTGCATAGCTTATTTCAAAATTGGGAGCATCTACATAGCACTTATTGTGAAATAGAGCACTCTTCCTCTGACTTCCTTTACTCCTCCTACAATGAGGGTTACAGGAGTTGGACTAAGAAGACCTCCAGCTTGACAGTATTTTCACACTGTTTCGAAATAACTACCTGCTATATAGATGTGGACTAAGTTATTTTGAAATAATGCTAGTCATTTTGAAATAGCGTTGCAGTGTAGACATACCCTATATGAATAAAGTTACTCACAGTGTGTCTACGCTGCACCGTTATTTCTAGATAACTAGCGTTATTTTGAAATAACAATGTGAGCGTCTACACAGCCATTCCGTGATTTCCAGATTATTTGCTTATTCCAAAATAGCTATTTTGAAATAAGGCGTGTGTAGACACTCCACTGCTGCTATTTCGAAACAGCCCCTCATCAGGGCCATTCTAAGCTAATCCTCCCCAGTGCCTCCTGGCGCTCTAAATCGAGATAACACATCTACTTTAGGGAACCTTGCCTTGGACAAGTTTTCAGGCTTCCCTGCAGTGTAGACGTGCTATTTAGAAATAAACTATTTTGGAATAAATATTCCAGAATAGCTTATTTTAAAATAGCCATGCAGCTTAGATGTACCCTCAGTGAGGAATACCATTGAAAATTAGTTCCTTAGATTACAAATTCCTCAAAATAGGGAGTTTGTCACCTTTATATATATACGAAGTGTTATGAGCTCCATTAGAATTAAGTCATTATGCATTTTAAATTTTGAAATCTTAATTCCAAAAGCAGAAAAGTGTAAGCAGTTTGAAATGTGTACTACTACCTGCTGGTCCAAATCACATCTGATATTTCTTTGCAATTATTATAATGTAAAGCAAGCATGCAGTCTGCACAAAAATGCCAGCACACAATGGAGAGATGACTAGATAATAACGTCTGGAAGAAAATACTAAAGTCTGAGTAGGAAATTACAATGTCCAATATATATAGAATCAAAAACAAGGTGAAGAAATGTTGTTATGAGTAAACAATACTTTCCGTTTATATTAGGATCATATCCGAAATCAGACAAAAATGAAGTTAGCTATATTACAGCCATTACTGGATGTACAATTATGCTTTCAGTATTGAATATTTTCTGGGCACATTGTAGCTTTTTTTAAATGTCACAAATATGCTAAGATATCTCAGTATTGTTTGTCAGCAGTTCATACAGAATTAGAGATCATGTTACACAAGAAATAGTCATTTAAAAATTGACCCTGTTATAATGTTTCTGTCATTTTTCTACATGAAAAGCCAGATTCTATTTTGATGTAAAATCAGATGGAACCAAATGGTTTTACACCAGATGATCTCTGGCTCTTAGCCCTTTGTTATTTTAAAGGGAACATCGTTACAGTCTGGCATGGAATGCTCTCTGGATCCTAAGTAACTGACATCATCTGATTACTGAGAAAAAAATGATATTAGTCAATGGTCCAAATTAATTCCTGAGGTAATTGCATTGCTCTCAGCAGACTTCCCCAGGCTTAATTTCTCCTTCTGGACCTGAGCCAAAGCTCACCGAAGTCAGTGGATTTTGGATCAGGACCTGCGTGGATCTAAATCCACTTTCTATGCAGGTCCTGGGGCCTGGTCTACACTAGGGCCTAAGTCTGAAATTAGCCCCCCAAGATTGATTTTCTAAGTGACGCATCCATATTAGTCAAGCCATTATTCCAGAATAAGGGGCCGCAGAATTCAAATTCTGTAGTCCTGCTTTTCAGGAGGAATAACACTATTCCTGAACGTGTAAGTCCGAAATAATGTTAGTGTAGACACTCCGGACTAATTCAAACTAATTGGCCTCCGGGAGGCCTCTCACAGCTCCCCAGAGTGCTTCATGAGTGGCTCTGAGTCCAAGGCAGGCCCTGTTAACATGGACGCGCTACCTCGGACTACATTCAATTCTCCCCATAGTGAGGACATGGAACTTCAAATGTGTAAAACTGGATGCCCAAAGTTCCACTTAGTAAATTTGAAATAATCACCTAGTGGAAACATGGCTAGGGTGACATATCACCTACAGATGGTGGATGGTTTTGGGTCTGATCTAAAGTCTATTGACATTATCAATTGACAAATCGCTGCCTAGATTTTCTAATGGACAGTCTTCCAGTTGACTTCACTGGTGTTTGGATGAGGCCCATTGCTCAAAGTGGAGTATTGGAAGGCAACTAATAGTGAAGGCTATGAATCTGTCTCAGAGATCAGGAATTCCATGAATTTACAAGACCTCAGTGACTGCATGAAAATGTGAATAAGGCAGTCCTGGGCAGCAGGGCTCAAGCTTTTGAGCCTCTAATAAAGTACTCCAGCAGGATAGCTGAAGGAGCTCTGGTTCTGGCTTCATCCCGTCCAGTTGGGCTCTGGCTGTGGTAGCACTATAGCTATGATTTATATTTATTGCCTGCATCTTGTCCATGATTTTTAATAAAAATACTTTTGTTAAAATCGTAGTCTTTATACGAGATAATAATGTTTCCTGTCTATTCTCCACCCCTGACCCCGCACACACACCCTGGAATCTTTTGTGTACCACAGTATTCTCTACAAGTTATAGACCAAACACCTTAGTACTTCTATTAGCAGTTTGGAGCTCCATTTTACATTTTCTTTTTTATATTTTAAGTTTGTATTGTTTGCTAGCTGTTGACCAATGAAGCCTATTCAAGCACTTCTATTAAGCAAAACACTGTCTTAAGATCCAAAAGGGTTTCTAGGGAATGAAACTCTGCTACCCCCGTATTAGAAACTTCCTTTAAACAACTGAATTTTGTTGGTCTCCATATTTTACTGTGTTTTGAGGGTTTATACGTGCAGCCCAGTGCCATATGTGCCCACACTCATAACACACATGTCACAGTGCATATCAGCAAATACCAATACTTAGAATCAATGTGTGCACTAATTAATTTAATTGATTACATTCAATCAAGCTTGAATTCAAATGACTAGTTGCAGAGTATGGCAAAGAATACAGAGATGATACACAGAAAATACATTATGTTATGGAGACAAATGATGTAAGAATGAAAGTAACTCTTATTAACAAAACAATGGGTAGTCCTATGGCACCTTACAGACTCACAAATATATATATATACATATATATAATATCATGAGCTTTCATGGGCAAAACCCACTTCCTCAGACAAAAGCTCATGATACCATATATATAAATAAGGCTCTAAGGTGCTACAGGACTACCTGTTGTTGTTTTTTAAAGGTACAGACTAACATGGCTAACCCTTGAGACTTTCAAATATTAACAGTATTGGCTATGGGAAATTGGGACATTATATGTGATTCAGTAACTAATTTGTTAACAAGCTGCAGGCAGACAGGCATACACAGAGCTTGGCATGATGTTTGGTGTTGCTATGCCATATTTCCTTGGAAATCCAGGGGAATACGAATACGAAGGTTTCACCTGTGTACTAAATACATTATTATAGTTCAAGAGGCTGCCTGGAGCAAATGCTATTTCATTTAACTCAGAGAATTTACTGACTCAAGTTCAAGGTTATTGTGTAAAATCATTGCTCTTCAGGTGGAAAATATGGGATACGATGCTCAAGGTTAGATTTAGAACAATATTTTGCTGGGGGAGGTCACTTTTTTTAGGGAACAGATGTTTTTAAGATAAATAAAAAAAAGGAATTGAAAATATATTGCTGCATGCCCTTTCAAAAATGATGGTGAAAAAGGAGATGAGCAATATCCTTCTCTGAGCAATCGTTTACTCTCTGCTTTCCATGCCAATCTATTTTTTCAAGGGACTGACATATTGCCACCCCCTTGTCATGTGTCAATTGCAGCAGGAGGTAATTTCTCGGCTGAGCTGGTGCACACTGTATCATCAAGTCTCTAGTATGTGCTCGCATTGCTGTAAATCTTCAAATGAGTACCCCTCTTTATTGACAGCTCCATGGTGAGGATTTCCCCCGTTTTCTCTTCGCTAGTCCACACAGTATTTGAAAGACGGCACTGGGAGTTCTACTTGATACTGCAGT